GTTTAGCAAAGTGTAGTTTGCTAAACGAAAAAACCGGCACGGAGAAAGGGACAAACAATCACACCGCTCTGTCTCATTTCTATGCAAGACGTATGCATAAATCTATCTTTTTCGTGTGCGAATGCGAAAGAAGGCGTCAATTTGTCTATAGGTTTCTCTGTCTACGATTCTACTTATACTTTACTGAATATGGTGGCTTTTACTTTGAAGTTTATTAATTTATAGTGTGGGGTATGTAGTGTAGAGGTAAGGAGTGCAGACTGTATAAAAAAGTGTCCGTAGGAAAATGCTAAATAAGGGTGGCGCCACTATAGCTACAGTGTAAATTTTAAAAAAAATTTATAATTTTTTTGTTGCACAGACTTTCACCATAATTCTTTTTACAATAATTATTTTATTTCTTTCAAAAATTTTTATTTTTAAATAACTCTCAACGTATTTTAGGCGATTTTTCATACCCTGTAGCTACTTAAGCGCTGTTGTAGAGAATTTTGGAACTGTTATTTACTGCATACAAATGGACACATCTTAAACTATTCTCCCATAGAGGAAAGAAATATATTCTCCTATGGGAGATTGTCGTCCTTACCTCTATACTCCATGGTTTATAGTTTATACCTTTGACTAGAGAAGAAAGAAAGGACATGACATAAAGATCGTTAGTTGTAGGAATGTAACGAAATATCGGCGTCTCGTTTTAGCTTATGAGTATATTCGTGTGTAAAAAAAGGACAACAGTAGTTTTATCATTACCGAATACGGCAACAATTTTTACGTTGCGGCTGGGCGCCATGTTTTGTCACAGTCGATGACAACTATATCAGTTGTCATTGCGACTTTAATGAGGTGAGTGTGTTATTTTTAGATGTTTCTCTCGTGGAATTCGATTATTACGGAATTTCTCATTCTATTCCTCGAGACTTCTAAATCGAGATAAAAACCATCCTATATGTTAATTCAGGTAGTAAACTATTTGTGTTCCAAATTATTACATTCAAACTGGTCTGATACTTTTGGAGTGATTGAGGAACAAACAAACATTAAAATTTTTGCATTTATTATAGTTCGATTAGTGTGAGTATGATGAGTGAGCCTAATGTATTATATATATATATATATATATATATATATATATATATATATATATATATATATATATATATATATACAAACAAACAAAAATTCTTTAATTAGTATTTCTTTTTAAGTAATTCCCGGGAAATAATTGTAACATTAATAATAGATAGTAACATTATAAAAACAAAACAAAAAAGACTGCTTAAAAGTAATGAACTGAAAACATAGGTGTAACTTATAATATATTTCATTAATCTCCTTTTTATTTACTTAATTTTGATATCCCTATCGATAGGCTGAGTAAAAAAATTAAGGACTTACAATTTGGCGCCAACAATCCGTCATATTGATTTAAAAAAACTTATCTAAGAACACACGGGTGTTTGAGACGAATCACACTAAAGAGTCTTTTTCTAAATAAGCGCCACATTATCGTCAATAAGTATAGTGCGCAGCACTACGTCAAGCCGCCATCTTTGTACCAGAATTTTTGTTTGTTTGTATATGTATTATATATATATATATATATATATATATATATATATATATATATATATATACATATATATACAAACAAACAAAAATTCTTTAATTAGTATTTCTTTTTAAGTAATTCCCGGGAAATAATTGTAACATTAATAATAGATGGTAACATTATAAAAACAAAACAAAAACGACTGCTTAAAAGTAATGAACTGAAAACATAGGTGTAACTTATAATATATTTCATTAATCTCCTTTTTATTTCCTTAATTTTGATATCCCTATCGATAGGTTGAGTAAAAAAAATTAAGGACTTACAATTTGGCGCCAACAATCCGTCATATTGATTTAAAAAAACTTATCTAAGAACACACGGGTGTTTGAGACGAATCACACTAAAGAGTCTTTTTCTAAAAAAGCGCCACATTATCGTCAATAAGTATAGTGCGCAGCACTACGTCAAGCCGCCATCTTTGTACCAGACTCAGTTTAGGTATACACGTTCTTTCGTAGGCATGTCATGTCCTTTCTTTCTTCTCTAGTCAAAGGTTTATATATGTATATATGTTAATATATTATGTATATGTATATTATGTATGTATACACACACAGAATTAGGCTCAGAAGGGTTAAAACCCAGAGCCGTAAAGCCAGTTAATAAAAATAAAATTGGCCGCTCCTGTTTTATCGTTTAAATAATGGTTTTAATTGGAAAAACCATGAAGGTCAGAGAACAGGAGAACGATCGCCGTAGAAAATAGTGTCCCAGAAATATGGACACCATAAGTGACGCGCTGCGATCGCTAAGTTCGGTCAATAAAGTCATTTTCAGTCTATTTTTCCAATCAGATGCTAAACCACTTGCACATCCACGCACAATAAAATATTTCTCCATTTTTTAATGTTTCTTTTTGTCAAAAATTACAAAATTACGGAGCATGAAAAATTTCTCACCAATGCCACGGACACAGACTAATATGATACTTACGTATGCCACGGAGAAAATTTGTACATTATTCAACTAACTTCATCTACTTGTACTCATAAACAGCTAACTTCGCAGTCACTACTTACCGACGTCAGCGCCGCTATAACTTCTACAATTTTCAAGGACAGGCGGGCTATGCTTTAGTACGTGATCGTTCTCCTGTTCTCTAACTTCCATGGGAAAATCACACACACACACACACACACACAGAGACTTTTTTTATTTTACTGGTTTTACTCTGGGTTCTAGGCCTTCTGAGCCTATCATTTCTTTTGGAATTTTCATTTTTATATACTTTTTCTTCACAATATGCTGATGCGTCACATTGCGAAACCCTTGGGAGATTTCGACGACACCTCAACCCAGCGGACAGTTGACGACGACAGCCACTCTAGTTCATAAGGTGCCCAAGCGATCAATGTTACTTGAGCTTTATATCGTCATCGAAGCACTTGTTTCGTCGTTTTCTCTAATAGTTCATACGCGCAGACACTTAATTCACAAAATCGCATCACTTTTACGAATCAATATCCACTTCAAACCATTATTCAAGCGACAAAAGAGGAGCAATATTCCGTCCCTGGCCAAGTTCCCACCAAAACTCCACACAGTCTAAGATACATGAGGAATTTAGAGTAATTACATCTCAGAGTAATTACATACATACCTTTGCATAGAGAGAACCTATACATTTCTACATAAATTGAGTCAATATACTTGTCTTGTTTTTTCTAATTGAATTTTCAAATAAGTCAAAAAGAGACAAATATGTTCAAAGATGTTGCATATAATTCATGCGTGGAAAAAGAAATGTCATGGTCATCTTTGGTCTCTTTTTAGACTGCTAAATAAAAAAGTTAGTAAATCGTATTACCAACGACATTCCCATCCCGTCGAAAGGTGTTCAGCTCTCCCTCTTCGCAGACGACACTGCTATCTACTGTAAAGGTGTCTCGCTACCTTTCATACGGAACAAGGTTCAAAAGTCAGTTGACGACCTAGGAGCTTGATTCAAAAAATGGCGCATCGATGTGAACCCGCAGAAGAGCTCCGCCGTTCACTTCGATTATAAACGACGCCGTCTCAAAAACACTCCAACAATTCGTATGCTAGGGACCCCTGTCCCCTGGCATACGACTGCCAAACATTTAGGTGTCACTCTAGACACGAGGCTCACTTTCAGGCCCCACGTCAAAAGAGTAACCCGTCACGCACGTTTTTACCTGAGTAGGCTCAACAGTATGTTGGGCCGACACAGTAAAATGTCCCTTAGAAACAAGCGTACCCTTTATAAGGTCTGTATACGACCAGTCATGTCCTACGCGGGCCCCGTTTATGCCCACGCCGACCCTAAAATTATTAATGAACTACAAATAGTTCAAAACATTTTCTGTCGTCGAGCTGCGAACGCACCTTGGTACGTCCGTAATGCCGACCTTCATCGTGACCTAGAGCTCCCCACAATTCAACAATTTCTCAAAAAACTCTCTGAGAACTTCTTCAAAGCCTCAGAGTCGCACTCCACCACTCAATACTAGCTTGCCAGGCAGACGTTGTTCTGCCCTTTTCGACGACCCTTTGTCATGTCCTATTAAATGAATGTTACTTGAATACTACGACTTTGATAGTGGTGAGATGACTGAGATGAGTTATACCTACATTTGCAAGATAAGTAAAAACAACAAATTAATAGAAATTTTTTATTACATACCACTTAACTTCAAAACAGTAAAAGAAGAAAAAAGACATATTTAGTACTAACCTTAACCTAGGTACCTGCAAAAACTTACTTTATACTTTTTATTTTAGATAAGAACATGGTAATGACTCCAAGTTATATTTACCTTCATTAAAAAAATATCGTCGTTGACCTAACCTACTATACTCTTTAGCTTGACCATAGGTCTGACTAATTGGTCACATATACTGTCGGGACGTCACTTACAGATGTCACTATCGTAATGAAACCGTAGACAGAGGATTATCAGTCTACGAATGAAACTTATTTAAAATTAAAGACATCAAGTAGTGTTAAAATTTTTTTTTAATAGATTCGTCATAAAAATAAAAAAAGCAAATATTGGATGTTTCTATAAATAAATATATCTATATATCGAATACAATAAATATTTTTCAAAACATCGAACCAATCTGATATATTGTACGGAAAACATCGAACAGATATGATACATGGATGTTAAGTGAATATCCCTATGAAATATTATAGTTCTGCTTCTGTGACATACTGACAAACCATAGATAAGAGTGTATACTAACAAATAATTCAAATTTTGTAATCGTTATTTCGTTACAATAGGTCAAGAGGTGTTTATTTATTTTAAATTATGACTATTGACTCACAAGTAAAAACAGTGTGCTAGATTTAAATTTAAAACGTAGTTCTTAATTTGAAACGTAGGTAGTAAACTTTATATTGTATTTGTTATCGAAAATGGAGAAAAGTAAGTATAAATTATAAAACCATTTTTGTGAAGTACTAGTTTCAAATGTTAATAAACCTACTTTATTCATGCTATCGCTATAAAATCACAATGTGGAAAATAAGGGTTAGTCAATAATTTCTTATGTCTTTTTTACCAGGGCAAACTGTGGAAATTTTTATTGAAAAATGGGGTTGTGATTTTCCCAACTATCCTCTGACTCTAGCTGATCTCAAGAAACCACATGCATTTATGGGAGCCTTGTGTCATGTTTTTGATCGACTGGGTATTGATAAAAATATAATTTTACAGGTATACATTTACGTCATAATAAATTATTTAACTAAACGGAATTATTGGTAATAATAAGTCTTGTATCGGTGATTATATTACTGACGGTTAAATTTTTCGCAGTTTTATGTTGAAAATTAATCACAGTAGTTTTTCTATAAAGTCTATAGTTTTAAAAAGTCCCTTGTACAGGATAAAGTAGTAGAAATGTTTATCATATCAATTATATGGAATATACTAAACCTATTAAAGTAGGTAAAGTGAGCATTCTGTGTGGTTCGCTTTCTCTTGGCTGTAAAACTATTTTTTAGAAGCATTTTAAATAACCACAGTGGAGGCAAGCTTTTGAGGGACCTCCTACATGATATTCAAAGGTGAAAATGATTTTGAGAGTATATAATAATTAGAGTTGGGCCGATTATTACTTTGACTGATTGGCCGATTAGCCAATTACTCGGTCAAGAAATGGCCGATTAATCGGCCCAGACAATCCCTGTTTAGGCGGTGTTCGGGAAAGGTCGGTCACATTTGTTGATGATGAAGATGATTGTAGATTCTTTATTTAATAACATTACAGGAAAAAAACAACTTATTGTAATTTTACGCACAGAAAAATAACAATTTATTTTATTTTAATTTTTAGCACAAAAACCATAACAATTTAGTTAAGTACAGAAATAAGTCTTCTTTTATTTGTCTTTTAAAAATCTACACATGCGTATAGTTAAACAATCTTTATTCAAGAATTAATTGTTTTCTTTTTTTGTTATGAAAAGGGGCAACTTAAGATGTGTTTTTTTAAAGTTTATTAAGAATATCAATATTAATATTTTATTTTGTTATGTTATTACTCTGCATTAAGATTAGAAAAAGTTAAAAAGTAGAATTAAAATAGTAAGCACTTAGGTTTTCATTTAGTTTTAAATTTAAATAGCTACCTCAGATTTTTTTTTGCCAAAGTTCCTATGTTCAGAGTAATTAACATTAAGACATTTGAGACTGATTTTTCAAGAAAAGCTATGTATGAACCTGCTTATTTATTTGATTTACCTACATATAAATCTGATGTGATTTTATGCATGGGAGAGAAACTATTATTTTCTTAAATTTAAAGCTTTACTCATATCAATGTAGCCACACTTACCATGCAGAAAATCACGAAAAATCTTTGCTGAAATTAATAAAATAAGAAGCCAATTAAGTGGCGGTTTTAGCCGATTAATCGCCAACTAATCGGTGACTACAAATAGGCCGAATAATAGGCCAGCTAATTGGCCCAACTCTAATAATAATATTTGAGGCTGTCTGCAAAAAACATCTTAAATAAAAGCTGAAATTCCAGAGGGGGTAAGAGACAGATCAGGAAGATGCTGTTGCACATCTCCTGTTTCACTGTTTCTCAGTAGCCTCTTGCGACTCGCAGAACATTATGGGGTAGTGGATATTTTTTCACTGTCTACACTGTGCTACACTGTTACAATAATTTTATATATTGGTTTATTTAATTGTAAATAATTTGCTATTTTGTTTTATCAAGGCTCCACCAGAGGAAAGCAACAATAAACATTTTATTTATTACTGGGACTTAATTCCTGTGATCAATGTGACTCGTATCATCAACTATCTTGTCTCCAAGATGCAGCACAATGGCACCAAAGTCACCATCATCCACTTTCTACAACCAACAACAACAACATCACATTCCATCTTGTGTTTACTTGTCAATCTAATGGTATTTAATGAAGCATGTATGACTGACATTGCACCATATGAACAGGAGCTGTTTTCAAAGAGAGAGGAGGTGAATATCTAGTAATTTATTTACTAATCGTTTTTTCAGTATTCCCATCGGTTTTAAAAAAAGGAGAAGGTCCTCAGATCAACTAATATTTTCAACCAACTTCAAAAGGTGGAGGTTCTCAATTCAACTGTATTTTTTTTTGTATGATACTTTAAAACTTTTTAGGTGAACCGATTTTGATGATTCCATTTTATTTTAAAGCTAGTGCTTCTCATGTGGTCCCATACTAATTTGATCAAGATCTGATTAGTAGTTTATGAGGTATTAGAATAATGCATACTTAATTGACTTCGACTACATTGATGATGTTCTCAATTTATTTATGTTGAAGTCAGTTATACAATTTTTTTATTTTTGTATGTAAAGAATATTTATTTTATATAATATATTTTTTTATTTAAGAGGTTCAAAAGTGATGAAGTTTCTAATGTAATAATAATTACGTCCACTCAAAAGTGTTAAAAAATAAACTTTTTTAGTTTACCGGTCTCGAGAACCTTTCTTCCCCATCGGTTATCGGTTCTTCGAGCTATATGGCTGGCCTATTGCCACTTCAGCTTACTAATCCGTTGGGCTATGTCAGTCACTCTGGTTTTACTGCAGATATCCTCATTTCTGAGTCTATCACGCACAGAAACTCCGAGCATAGCCCTCTGCATAGCTCGTTGAGCGACCTTGAGCTTCCTCATACGGCCAGCAGTGAAAGACCACGTCTCAGATCCGTAAGTTATCACTGGCAACATGCACTGGTTGTACAATCTAGTTTTCAGAGATTGAGGTATACCTGACGAGAAGATGTGTCGTAATTTCCCGAACGCTGCCCAGCCGAGTTGAATCCGTCGATTGTCGTCCCAGTTGAAGTTGGACTTACCTAGTCTCACTATTTGTCCCAGGTAAACGTACTCCTCAACAACTTCGAGCATAGTGCTCCCAACAACTACCGGTGTGACATGGACATTAAACATAATCTTTGTTTTGTCCATGTTCATCTTAAGACCTATTCGTTGGAAGACACCATTAAGGTCATTGAGCATAGTGCTTAGGTCCTCCAGCAATTCTGCCATAAGGACTATATGGTCGGCAAATCGAAGGTGAGTGATGTACTCGCCATTGATGTTAATACCGTACCCTTTCCAGTCTAGTAGCTTGAAAACGTCTTCCAATGCAGCGGTGAAGAGTTTCGGGGATATAACGTCACCCTGTCTTACACCTCTCTGCAGTTGGATAGGTTTCGAACTCTGGTTCTGTACTTGGATAGCCATCGTAGCCCTACTGTACAAACACTTCAGCACTTCGATATACCGACAGTCAACTTGGCACAGCTGAAGGGACTGTAGCACCGCCCAAATTTCGACGGAATCACAGGCTTTCTCATAATCCACATACGCCAGGCGAAGTGGCAGATAGTACTCTTCGGTCTTCTGTATAATCTGCTGCAGGGTATATATGTGGTCTATGGTACAGAAGCCTTTTCGGAAACTGGCTTGTTCGGGAGGCTGGAAGTCGTCGAGTTTGCGTGCGAGACGGTTCGTAATGACTCTCGAAAACAGCACGTAGACGCGGCTCAGAAGGGAAATCGGTCTGTAGTTCTTCAAGACAGCGTTGTCGCCTTTCTTAAAGAACAAGACCACCGCACTTCTGCTCCATGCCTCCGGAGTAGTGCCACCATGGAGGATGGAATTAAAGAGCTTCTGAAGGACTTTAGTACTGGTGTTCCACCCGCTTTCAGAAGCTCCGCTGTAATTCCATCCTCACCTGGGACCCTGCCGTTTTTAAGGCGCTGGAGAGCCATTCTAATCTCGCTTAGACTGACATCCGGGATATCATCGGAATAGTGTCGGATAAGACTTGCTCTTGGATCGTTACTCACACTTGCGTGTGGCTCCAACAATGATGTGTACAGCTGCCCATAGAACCTCTCAATCTCACTCAAAATCTCAGGTGTCCCGGAAACGATGATGCCACACTCAGTATTCAGCTTTGACAGTTGGCTCTTTCTGGCAGACAGATCTCTGGCAAAGACTTTGGAGTCCTGGTTCCGCTCGATCGCTTTTTTAATACGAGCAGTATTAAAGTTGCGTAAGTCTCGCCGCATGCATTTGGAGATCTATCTGTTCAGTTGCCTGTATGCTGTCAAATCTGTTGACGATTGCAGCCTCATCTCCCGTCTAACAGCCATGAGATTAAGAGTGTGATCGGAGAGTTTTTGTGTTCTTCTGCGGCGGGTCTTGCAGAACTGAGCTCCGACCGTATGGACAGTTTCCACGAGCTTGTCATTCATATCGTCCACTGCATTGCAATCTTCTAGACACTGAATGCGGTTATGTAACTCAAGCTGAAAGGTTTCGGGATTCTGGATTAGAGCACGAGGGGGACTGAGCGTTGACTTCATTAGACGAGATCTCTCCAACTTAACGTTTAGGTTCAGTGTGCCTCTAACCATTCGGTGATCGCTGCCAGTTTTCAACCTTGCGATCACTGAAACATCACTGAACAGTTGGCGTCTGGTCGTCATAATGAAGTCAATCTCGTTTTTTGTCGAACCGTCGGGGCTCGACCAGGTCCACTTTCTGTGGGGCCGCTTCTGGAAGAAAGAGTTCATCATAAAAAGTCCCTCTTTCTCCATGAAGTCGGCCAGCTGCTGGCTCCTTGGATTCCGTTGCCCTATCCTATTGTAGCAAGTTATTAAATTTTAATTCTCATGTTTCAGGTCAAGACATTAGAGGATAGAAAAAACAGGTTATTGGAAATGCTCAATGAGCAAGCGGAGGAAAAGGGAAGACGTGCAGAAAGGCTAGAAAAGGTATTTGAAATATTACTGGCTATTGGCCTATTATTATTCATCATTCATTGTAGCCCATCAAAAGTTCATTACTGCACATAGGCCTTCCTCATAGATTGCCTTATGACCCATAGGTGCCATGTTTGGCAATCAGGTTGGCAACTGCGGTTATATTTGTTATTTTCAGATGTTATGAGAAAGATGTGTACAGAGGAGAAACACATGAACACATTCACACAGCACACATTACACACACATACACTATGCACATGCTACACATTCACTACATACATGCACACTACACACACTATTTTTACTTTCTAAATTTTTTTTAGTCGTTTATGCATTAATTTAGTATAAGTGGTTCTTGCTTTAGTAAAACTTTATGATAAGTTTCCCCTTGTCTCTTACAATACCCACTTAATGATATGAGGTGGATATTCTTGCATTGCGATTGCACTGCCAATGCACAGTAATCTTTAAGTATTATGATAATATAATTTTTTTAACTATCTATGTACAGTTTTGTTATAATTTTATATATAAAAAACAAGTTAAAATTTAATCTGTTAATAACTGTGGCCTATCATTGAATGAAAGACAGTAGCCTAATGGTTGAGGGTGCGTCTTCGAATTCGGATGGATGTAAGTTTGAACTGGCTACACTACTGTTGTGACTCTTGAACCGAGTGACAAGCATTTTAAGCTAACTTGAAGTGATTAATAGGGTATAGTAAGTAATGTATTACTAACTACTAGTAATGTATTTCTAGAATACATTGCAAACATTGCAGTTTATTAATATTCGACAGTGTTTATGGGATTACATAAGTTATTAGCTGCGTGCAGAAAGTTTGCTGATGATGTCTGACGTCACATGTCAATGGTTAGTATGGTTGACAAGAATACATGTTACTAATATAGTAGTTGCAAATGCAATAAATTAATAAAGGAAATATTATTAATAAAAAAGAAAAAGTTACAGCCTATATACGTCCCACAGCTGGGCACAGGCCTCCGCTCATTTCTGAGAGGGTTTTAGGGCAAGGAATTGTCTGCCGCGCTGCCCCAGTGCGTGTTGGCGAACTTCACATGTCCTCGAAATATTTTTTTCCTTATTTCTCTGACATGCAGGTTTCCTCACGATGTTTTCCTTCACCGCTAAGCACGTGGTAAATCAGCACTTAAAATTGCAAATAATAATTTCATTGGTGTCGGCGGGGATCGAACCCGGTTTGCTCGCGTACTACAGCGAGCGCTAACCATCTGAGCTACCACGGCTCCAATAAAAAAGAAAGGGAGTTGTATTTCACGCAAAATACGCGCTTAGACATGGAGTTGCGGAAAACAGCCCGTCGTAAACGAAACTAAACTAAACGGAGTTGTAACTAAGATTGATTACAGGCGAACCTTTTAGTTTTTCCTTCTCGAAAAACGTTAGAACCTGTTCAAGTAATAAAAAATATTGAAATAAAAAAAACGTCTTGTGTGGTGTGAAAATTGAGAAGTGCCCTTTTATTTACTAATGACAATTTACGTCAACAAAAAACAATATACTTTTTTCAAATATGTTCCATTTACAAATATTCAGCCCCCCCCCCCCCCCGGAACAAAAGCAAACTATTTAATTATTCCCAAAATTAATCAAGAAAATAAACCAATAAGCCTTTAGCACAATTAGTAACAAGTAAGTAGATATTAACAAAATAACATTGATATTGTTCAGTAGGGCTATGAAGGCTATCCGAGGACAGAACCAGAGCACGAAACCTATCCAACTGCTACTGCTAAGCTACTGAACTGGAAAGAATACGCTATTAACATCAATGGCGAGTACATCACTCACCTTCGATTTGCCGACGATATAGGTCTTATCGCAGAATCGCTGAAGGACCTAAGCAATATGCTCCATGACCTCAATAGTGCTTTCCAACGGATGGCTCTTAAGATGAACATGGACAAAACAAAGATCATGTTTAATGTCCATGTCACATCTACGCCCGTAGTTGTTGGGAGCACCAAGCTCGAAGTTGTTGAGGAGTATGTTTACCTGGGAAAAATAGTCCGACTAGGTAAGTCCAACTTCGACCGAGAGGTCAATCGACGGATTCAACTGCTGGGCAGCGTTCGGAAAATTACTCAGCTATACCTCAAAACCTGAAAACTAAACTGTACAACCAGTGCATGTTGCCAGTGATGACCTAGGCAACTGGGACATGGTCCTTCACTGCTGGCCATATGAGGACGCTCAAAGTCGCTCAGCGAGCTATGGAGAGGGCTATGCTCGAAGTTTCTCTACGTGATAAACATAGAAATTAGGTTATACGCAGTAGAACTAGAGTGACCTACATAGCCCAACGGTTTAGTAAGCTGAAGTGGCAATAGGCCGGCCATATAGCTCGAAGAACCGACAACCATTGGGGAAAAAAGGCTCTCGAGTGGCAGCCTCGTACTGGTAGGCCAAGTGTAGGTCGATCCCCCACTAGATAGAGTGACGACCTGGTAAGACATGCAAGAAGTCGATGGATGCAGGTGGCTCAGGACCGTGCTTTGTTTGTGGCATACCTTGGGGGAGGCTAATGTTCAGCAGTGGACTTGTGAAGGGCTGTAATGATGATGATGAACAAAATAATTGGATAATAAAGTAAAAATACGATAATAAAGTAAAAATACGATAATAAAGTAAAAATACGATAGTAAAGTAAAAATACGATAATAAAGTAAAATTAGGCCTGCTGGAAGAAATTTCATTATGGAATAAGCAGTGCCTTTGTACATAATTTTGTTTTTACCATTTTCCTATCGAAGTATGTGTGTACATAAACTGTTAAATAAATAAATACAAGTAACATTAATTATTCATACTTTTTATACAAACTAGTTATTAGAATTAGTAACATAATCAACATTGTCACTTAGTAAAGCAACCTAGCATTAAATAAAGTACTTGTTGAATAGATGTTATAAACTAAACTTATTTAAAGCCTCTATTCGTACATAAACGCCTACATGTTCATAATACAACTACTAAAGTAAAAATAATAATTGAAAAAGACATTAATGATTCAAACATACGATACACACTGATGTAAGTAGTTTGTTCTTTCTTATACAGAATTACTAAACATTTCAATAGAGAAAAAGAAGAAAAAAACATTTAATTTACCCTACAGGCAAAGGCACAGTTTTACTTATTGGCCGGGAAAATATGCCATTTTTGGTTTTTACATCAATGGCTCTAATTTTGTTATTTTTACCTTTGTAAAAATGGGTGTCATCATTTTTGAGTAAAACTATATCATTAATTTTTACATCAGGTTCAATCGTATACCATTTGTAGCGTAACTGCAATGAATTTAAATACTCTTAAGTGCCAATGTTTTCAGTATAATTGTCTGAATTTACATATTTGGTTGTACGCAGTGAGCTTATTTTCAGGTATATCAATTACAGAGATTTCAGGAAAAGAAGTCAATGGTTCTCCTATGATAAAATGGCTGGGGGCTAAACATTGTAAGTCTGAAGCATCATTACGGAGAGAACAAAGTGGCCTAGAATTAGTAATAGCATCTATCTACGTTAACAAGGTGTTAAGATTTTTGTATGTCAGTGTCGTGTTACCCACTACGCGTTTCAAATGATGTTGTACCATTTTGATCCCATATACCTTCCCAATTTGGTGCTGTTGGGACTATGTACCTATTTCCAAGTAATTTTTTCATTTTGCAATAAAGAGTCTAATTCAGGATTACGCTTCAAGCACCATATGGAGACCGTGAAGCTCCTTTTCTGCGCCCTTGAATGTGGTGGCATTGTCGCCGTGAAGCTCCAGACACCTCGTCTCCATATAAAACGTTTTAAAGCTTTCAAAAACTCCTTGGATGTAAGGTCGTTCACTAATTCGAGATGAGTAGCTTTCGTGCTGAGGCAAATGACATACCCTTTGGTGATGAAAGGCTTACGTATCCTGCTTTGCTTGAAGGTAATAGGACCTGCGTAATCAAGACCAGTTATTAGAAAGGGCCTATTAGGGGTTATGCGATACTTTGGTAGGTAAGCTGTGTACGCGCGTTGTTAGAAAATTTAGCGCACGTAATGCATTTTTGTATGATGTGTCTCACGCTATTATGCGCCTGCACCGGCCAGAAGCGACATCTCACGCTGCTCAGCGTCATCTGTGGTCCAGCGTACAGCAGCATGTGCTCGTACCTGAGAATGAGATCTGTTACATGACAACAAGCTGGTAACAACATGGAAAACTTCTTATGAGAAGGCAAATCAGAGTGTCTAATGCGGCCTCCTACACGCAGAACGCCGTTATCTGAAAATATATTAAGTTATTTTAAATGTTGGTTTGTGAAGTTTTTGTGCCTATTGAAATCAGAATTAAACATCAAGTGCTTAAACTCGTTAGGGAAATGCGAGCGTTGCACCGAAGACACTATGACACGGACGGCAACCTCGCGCTCTGCGACATTTTTAGATATTTCCTGTAAACATACTTTCATTTTTAACTTTCCCTTTCTGGTTATCTATAAAACGCAGAACACGCGAAAAGACCTTTACTAATATTGACCAGGACGAGGATCTCTCGAATATGGTTTCGCAATATGATTTTTCGATCGTGTGAGAAATGGTGACTACTAGAGGTGGGTAATATCACTTTTAGCCTATATCAAATCGTACCTATGTAAAGAAAAATATCTGATATTGTATCTATATATTTTAATATCTATATGTTTGTTGATGTTTTCTTTATATTAAATTAAATCGTGTCGTGTTTATGTCATCTAGCGTATTTTGTGCGTACCACCTTGAGAGTTAATCAATTTTTGTACGATAAAATCATTTTACGTATAAAATGAAGTAGATGGCGCTATTACAAAGTATTATTATACTCGTTTACTCCAAAGAATACATTTTTAATTTATTACACTTAACTTCTCAAAATAGTCCCGTATTATGCGTGTAAGCGGACGGGACATTGTTATACATAATAGGTTTAATTCGTTCTACACAAT